GATCACATCATATAGTTAAGCTGGCCATACATGGATCGCATTCCGAAAGAACTTTCTTTGGAAAATCTTTTCTAAGAGTTTTCGTTTGAATGTAGTGGACCATTAGTGGACCGCATGAATTTGAGTGATCGAGCATGTTGGAAATTTTTTTTAAAAACAAATTCATTTCTACACAATGATGGAAGAATAGTGCGAGAAATGTAATTGAAAAAGAAACAAGCATGAGCTGGGACCTGGAAAGAAAAGAACATTATGGCAACAAAAAATATTTTCTGTAGCAACATGAGGTGAAATTAAAGACTTGGTTGGTTGAATTTCGAAGTCAATGGTGGCACCATCAGATTACAAAATGCACAAAATTTCCGATTTTCTAAAGACAATTTGTTCAGAATTTGACCCATGTATGGCCTGCTTTTGCAGATATTGTGAATATCCTGTACAAAGAAACAATTGCAAAAAGAGATACCATTTACAGGGTTTGCATAAGCACGGCACCAAATGAAAAGTTCAACTGAAAGGATGGACAACAGAAGCAAATCCCTGTTATCAAGTCAAGATGTTCTTTTATCATACAGCGGTAAATGACTGCTGCTCAGTTCTCCGGCATTCTCAGAGGAGAGAGTTCTCCCATGAATGCCTTTTTATGAAGCGTTGTAGATCACTTCTCTGAATTAAGAGAGAAGTGATCTACAAATGCTTTGAACGCTGGAAAATGGCTGCTGGTACTATAATCTCGTGAGATTACACGTGAGATTACAGTAAGAGATCAGTCAAACACTGTTTACTAAGCAGCTGTAAATTATCTCTGCTCCGTTTCCGGTTCCCCCGAATCTCCACCTCTGGGCTGGAGAATCTGGAGGGAGAACACAGATCGACAGTGAAAGGCTGACATTGCTCCTTTATACACTGGCCATCTGTGTGCTGAGATGATCAGCGGAGAACATGTTCTCCGCTGATCATCTCTGTTTTCTAAACCACTAATGATTGGAGATCAGCAACGATCCTTAGGACATAGTGACAGAATATCAAACGAAAGTTGAATGCTATTTATCAGATATTGGTATTTACTGGATATTATTTGGGGTCCCAGCATCTAGTTGGAAATGGAAGATAGTTGATACGGTTTAAAAGGTTCCTAGCTTGGGGGATTCTAGACTCCAACCTAAGTATTTATTATGGATTTTCCACTCATGTTCCTTTTTATTTGCTCCCAAAGACAAATAGTGAAGAGCCGAACACACCTGGATTCAGTTCAAGCAGAGTTCGCTAAACACAGATAAAGTTTGGGTGCTGAATCTGAATCCTGTTGAGGTCAGTGGGTGCCAGATGTTAAAAAATAATTCCAGTCATTTTCTAGGCTTTTATGCAAGGTATTGTCAAACAAATGGGGGGCTGGGACCTGGCCTAGGAAACATTTACCACAGCAAAAAAAAAAGAAAACAATTCAAACCTTTTGCTCAACCAGGAGCAGTAATTTTAGTAATACTTAAAGCAGAGTTCCAGTCAGTTTTGTGTTTATTAACCGCTTCCCGACCGCCCTATGGCAGAAATATTGCTACAGGGTGGCACGGGTGCGCACAATCACGTGTATATACGTGATTTTGCATTTCCAGGTAGGTGGTGCATGCAGGCCACGCGCATGCCCTACCCACGCCACCATTTTCTGTGGCTGTCAATCACGGGGTCCCACCCGGTAATAACTCACCAGTGCCTGGTGATTCCTGATGATCACGGATGGGGAGGAAGACTGTTTTGTTTACTGACAGTCCTCCTCCCTGTCGTGCCATTAGTTCAGTGTCAGTGCTTCTTTTTTTAGCACTGATCACTGTATCGGTGTCACTGGAGATGTCAGTGACACCAGGTCAGTTCCCCCAGTGTCAGATTGTCCATCGCAGTCCTGCTATAAGTCGCTGGTCTCAGCCACGACTAGTTAAAAAAAAAAATTCCAGTATCTATACCGCCATTTGTAAATGCAATAACATTCACATAAACGACTTAATTTACACGTATTGGGATTTGAAACATTTTTTTTATTGGACATGTTTAATAGCAAAAAGTCAAAAATATTTTTTTCTCAAATTTTTTTTTATAGCGCAAACAACACAGGTGATCAAATACCACCAAAAGAAAGCTCAATTCATGGGAAAAAAAGAATGTGAATTTCATTTGGGTGCAGCGTTGCATGACTGCACAATTGCCAGTTAAAGTAAAGCAGTGCAGTAACGCAAAAAATGACCTGGTCAGGAAGGGGGGTAAATCCTCAGGAGGGCAAATGGTTAAAAATCAGCAGCTACAAAAACTGTAGCTGCTGACTTTTAATAAACACACACTTACCTGTCCCATGGTCCAGTGATGTGCTCACCCGTGCTGACCCTTCTCTTCCTCTTCTCTCCTCGGCGCCGGCATCACAACTGTGGGCACCAGGCTATGACAGCTTGCGGCTTCACAGCTGGGTGCCTACTGCACATGAGTGAATAGCACTGCACATTCTGATTTGTCCAGCAGTCTTCTAGGACTTGTGAAGTATCCTAGAAGACTGCGAGAAGAGGGGGCCAAACTTCCCGCTCATTTTGCCGCTGCAAACTAAGCACGAAGTGGGAGCGGGTACCTGTCAAAACCAGGTACCCGCTCCCCCCAAAAGGTGCCAAATATGGCAGTGGAGGGGGGGAGGAGGCGAACAAGTGGAGCTTCCACTTTTGAGGGGAAATCCACTTTAAAAGGAAACATTAAAAGTGCAAAATCCTATGAAACAATATGTCTGGGGTATGCTTTGACCCTGCCTTTGAAGTGGCATATCTTTACTATGTATATGGCCTACTACAACAACACTGACATTTACAAAGAAAAAAGTGTGCTTAAAGGATAAGTTCACCTTTTAGACAAAAATAATGAATGCACATTTTTTTTGCAGGTAAAAAAATGTGCATGTATTATTTTTGTCTACAGGAGCCTGGAAAGCATTGCACCAGAGATCAGTAGATCACTGATGCTATGCAGGTCTACTGCAGACCTGTTGAAATACCTGCTTGCTGTACGGGATGTACGATCAAGCAGATATACTAACAGGAATCTTCAGTGAAACTACCATGGCACTCCACAGTGCCGTGGTAGTTCATTGAAATCTACAAGCCACAGCCGCTAAGGCTGTTGGGACTTTCAGTTCATTCATTCATGGAAGTCCCCACAGGCCGCGCTGTTTTCAAATTTGAAATTTGGGAATATGTTCCATGTTTCACGTTCCACCCTAAAAATGGGTGGAACATGTAACATGTTCCCAAAGGTGAATTTACCATTTAATCACTTGAGCTCCAGAAAATTTTACCCCCTTCATAATCAGGCCATTTTTTCCTATTTGGCACTGTGTTACTTTAACTGGCAATTGTGCGGTCATGCAATGCTGTACCCAAACAAAATTTATTAACTTTTTTTTTCACACAAATAGAGCTTTCTTTTGGTGGTATTTTATCGCCACTGGGCTTTTTATTTTTTGCACTATACATGAAAAGAAAAAAACAACAATTTTGAAAAAGCAATATTTTATTTTATTGTCTGCTATAAAACAAATCCAATAAAAAAATAATAAAATTTCTTCATACATTTTGGTTAAAATGTGTTCTGCTACATATCTTTGTTTAAAAAAAGAAATCCAAATATTTGTATATTGATGCATGAAAGTTATAGTGCCTACAAACTATGGTATATATACTGGAATTTGTATTTATTTATTTACACTGCTAATGGCGGCGATCAGCGACTTATAATGGGACTGCGATACTGCAGCAGGCAATCTGACACTGACTGATGCTGCGGGGGCACTGATTAACTGACACTGACATCACCAGTGAGATTAATACAGTGATCAGTGATAATCCTATACACTGTCACTGTATTAATGACACTGGCTGTGGAGGGGTTAACATCTAGGGCAATCAAGGGGTTAAATATATGTGCCTAACTATGTGCAATGTGCGTACAGTGTGCTGCTTTTACTAGCTGAAATGAAACAAAATGAAATGTGCACACGCCTAGTAATAGATGTTCCAGACACTGTCAAATAAACAAATTCTCATTTATGCTATGACGCAAAAAAGACAGATATGTGCTAAAAACTATTGATTATTGTGTACAGAAGTTTATTCAAAGGCTGTCACGTAAAGATTTGCTTAGTTGTGCCACATTAAAGCCTATAGCAGTTCTTTGAAGTTGCTGGGAAATCTGTTGATCAATAATATAATAACAGTGTCAAAACAGTAACCCAATCCATTCCATAGCAAAATCAAGTCTCTGTTTAAACACTTCCAGTCTGGACACTTTTACCCCCTTCCTGCCCAGGCCAATTTTCAGCTTTCAGTACTATCACACTTTAAATGACAATTGCGCGGTCATGCAACACTGTACCCATATGGATTTTTTAGCATTTTTTTGGGACAGATAAAACTTTATTTTGGTGGTATTTATTCATCACTGGAATTTTTATTTTTGTTTTGCTATATAAATGAAAGTCCAAAAATTTTGAAAAAAAAGTGTTTCTTCTAAAATTGTTCTTCTAATCTTTCTTCATAAATCTTGGCCAAAATTTATTCAGTTATCCTTTTAATAAAAAAAAATAAAATAACCCAAATTAGTTTACAACCAAAAATTAAAATTTTTCAAAATTTATTTTATATTTTTATTTTTTTTATACTATTATTTATGTTTTTTTTTTTTTAACATACTGTCACCCTAGCAGTACAGTGTCACCATAATGATACTGTACTACTTGTGGGGGGTGATGAATATTTTTTTTCCTTTTTTTACACTGATTTATTTTACACCCATAAAGGCTGCAAAAGCAATCATTTCTCCTTTTCTCTGGCTGCATTCTTGCAGCCATTGAGAAATACTGTGAGAGCTGTTATTGGTCACAGCCAGGGGCGGACTGACCATTTGGGAAACTCGGGCACTGCCCGAGAGCCTGGGGTCAGTAGGGCGCCCCATGAGATGCCCCTGGTACCTTTTTCATAGGCTTTTTTGAGTTTGGGCAAGGACACAGGGACCCCATGATCCCCTATTGCCCGGGGGGCCCCATGAGTTGTCAGTCCGCCCCTGGTCACAGCTTGTCACATGGTACAAGTCTGTTGTGAATAGCCTTGTACCATGTGATCTCTGTGATCACTCACAGATTTCACTAGTAGTCAGCACTGATGTCAGCAAGTGACATCTTGCTTATTACTATTCATGTGATCACTGATTGGCCAATCAGTGATCACATGATCAGGACCTCACACAGAGGTCCCCTACAGCGATCGGTGTTCCTCCGGACACAGCGGGCACCGGAGCGCACCCAGGCTTTAAATGCAGGCGCCATTTATGAATGGCAACCCGCTCCTGCACTGCTCCCGTCCGGCTGTTTATGTACATGGGCCGGGCGGGAAGTGGTTAAGGTTAAGGTTGGTAAATACCTTTTTCATCACCTGCAGACCATGCGGTATGTAAGTAAACAAGTTGTTGAACTCCATACTGCATAAAAACATCTAGAAGTTGGATGCTCCGCATGCACCAAACAGTTTAAAGAATCTGTAGTGTCTAGCACAAAGGATTTCATACCTGCTACCTTTGGGCAAAATAATTAGTCCACAAAAATGGTCAATGGTTGAAATATAGAATTGTTCCCTGCCACAATTTGGACAATCTGGAAAATCTTCTAAAAGTTTGTGAATCTTTGGGAGGCAATACAAAAGAAGTATGAGTGGAGAATTGCTTATTTAGAAATGCTTAAAGTGGTAAGCAAGTCAAAACCTAATTGAACTTAGATCTACTCCCAGCCTCATTCTAATCTACCCTGTAAAAGGAAAGATGTCTATGCTTACCTATTCTGAAGTCTGGTCACACTGCTCTTGGTTCTGTGTGCTCCAGTTTTAATAAATCCCCCCCAATGAGACAAACTGTCACACAGATCAACAAAACTGAAAATACAGGGGGGAAAAATATTAAGCAACTAAAAACCAAATTACAGCACAAAGCCCACAAAAGTGTTGTTGTTAAATAAATATATCACCTGTACGTCTCTATGATACTCAAGCAAATATATTTAATCACTTCAGATTTCCACTCATCTACCGATGATGGAATAGAGGATACCGATCACGAAGCAATCAGTTTTTTTGTGTAATAAAAAGAGATCTTAAAACTGCAACAGTTAGCTTAGAGTCCAATGTATTGGAATCAACATATCCTAGGATACATAAAATGGGGGTCAAGGGTTAAGAAAATGCCATATAAATAATTTAAAGTTAAAACAACCCCATGCCAGTAACACCTCAGGCTACATTCACACCTGAGTGTTTTGTAGTGTGAAGCTCCAAACTCTCTGAGGGGGAATAAAATCAATATTACTCTATGGAGATGGTTTACATCTCCACTCCAAATTGCCTGAAGCAGAACGCCTAAAGCTCAAAAAAGTTTTGTAGCTCAATTTGGGCAGATGTGTACATTGTTTTTATAGAAACACGCGTCTGTGCGTGTTTTTGCGTGCTTTTTGTGCAATTTTCTGCTCAAATGAAAAGAATTTTAAATAAAAAATAGTAATAGTATATGAATAAATAAATGTAAAATAAATACACATATAAATAAAAAAAAATCATGATAAATAAATCATAAATAAATAAATAACTATTAACTCCTAACTTAAACAAAATTAAATAAATTAATAATAATAGTAATAATAATAAATAAAACACCCAAACAAAAAATGCATTATTATTATTAATAACAACAATAATGATAATAATAATAATAATAATAATACATTATTGTTATTATTATTTTATTACCTTTTTAGGTTTTGGGGTTAAGGTTATGGGTAATTATTATTAATATACTAATTTACTATCAAGTATTTATTTATGATTATTTTTATTTATTTGTGTATTTATTTTACATTTAATTATTCATTAAATATGACGATGATGATGATATTATTATTATTATTATTATTATTATTAATAATAATAATAATTAATTATAATTTTTTAGGGTTAGGGGGTTAGGGCTAGGGCTTAATTATTACTTATTAATTTATTAATACCTAGTATTTATTTATGATTATTTTTTTTTTTACTTGTGTATTTATTTTACATTTATGTATTAATTTTATTTATTATTATTATTACAAAAAAAAAATTAAACAAATAAATATATAATGAGAAAATAATAAGTAAAATACTATAAATAAAATAGTAAATAAATAATAAGAAGTAATAAATAAAATACTAATCCCAACCCAAACCATAATCCAAACCCTAAGGTAACATTAATTCTAACCCCTTACCCTAACAAAATACAAAATAATAAAAAATAATAATAATACTAAAAACTAAATTTTATGGAAAATTATTCTGTATTGGCTAATAAAAAAATGCCAAAGTTCAAAAATGCCTAAAAAACGCTGCATGAAAATGCGCAAAAAAACGCACAAAAATGCGCCAAAAACGTTGAAAAACCCAACGCTAAGATGTGAATGGAGCCTCAGCTTTTTGGCTTTGAGATCTCCCTACAGCCTATCTTATACAAAGATTCTGGTGTATAATAAACTCTATGCAAAAAAAAAAAAAAAAATGTTGAGACAGAACTGTGACTGCCACCCTCTCCCACCTTGAAAAGTCTTCCAGCCGAAAAAGTTTTGCCAAGAGAGTAAGAGAGGAGGAGAGGAGGAAATAAAAGGAGTAGGAGAGGAGGAGGTAGAGTTGTAAGTGGCACTGAAGGTACGGTGAGATAGGTAACATCACTATCTGGTATTCAGCTAGTAATCTGCGCTCGATTAGATATTTAAACTGGGAAACATTTTTAAACTGGGACATTCCAGAAGAAGATGAATCAGTAAGTGGATCAAGAGGAAGCTATTCCCCATACAGATTTGGTCCAGATAATTGTAAATGCTGAAAATGTTCCAAATTCTGTAATGATAGACATTGCAGAGGAGAGGGAAGTATAAAAAAGGTATATCATCAACACAAAGAGCTTCTTCTCATTCATTCCCATAGAAAAAAACATGCACTTCCGGAGTCTGTGTTAAAAAAAAGTTGCCAATGACTATCGCAACTGCAAATACAGTTGCAAGAAAAAGTACAGTTTTGTGTCCAAAATTATTCAACCCCCCACTGAAATTGAGTGTTTTGGCCAGTTTGACATTGCTTTTGATCATTCAGTCATCTTGCTTACATTTACATTAAAGAGGCACTTGTAGGTCAGACAAATATAACATAACAGTTATAATGAAATAACCACAAATGTCTTTTCTGTGCTCACAGCATTATCAGTTTTATTCAACCCCCAAGTGACATTCAATCTTAGTACTTAGTACAGCATCCTTTTACAGTTATAAAGCTTTTAAACGTGAAGCATAGCTTGACACAAGTGTCTTGCAGCGATCTACGGGTATCTTCGCCCATTCTTCATGGGCAAATCCAGTTCAGTCACATTCTTATTGCGCACTGCAACTGCTTTCTTTAAGTCCCACCAGAGGTTCTCAATCGGATTTAAGTCTGGTGACTGCGATGGCCACTCCAAAATGTTCCAGCCTTTCCTCTGCAACCATGCTCTAGTGGACTTGGAGGTATGCTGGGATCATTGTCCTGTTCCAACAGACTCCCAAGCCTCAGGTGTGTGACGGACTGGCATCACGTTTTCCAATCCAATAAGGTTACTGATTAGTGAAAGGTCTCCCAAGCTGTCAGGGTCCTAGAGTGTGTGACGGACTGCATCACGTTTCCATCCAATATCTCCTGGTACTGAAGAGAATTCATGGTACCTTGCACACGCTGAAGCTTCCCTGTACCTGCAGAAGCAAAACAGCCCCAAAGCATGATTGACCCTCCACCATGCTTCACAGTAGGCAAGGTGTTCTTTTCATCATAGGCCTTGTTCTTCCTCCTCCAAACATAGCGTTGATCCATGGGCCCCAAACAGTTCTAATTTTGTTTCATCAGTCCACAGAACACTATCCCACAACTTTTGTGGTTTGTCCACATGGCTTTTTGGCATACTGCAGTCGACTCTTCTTATTCTTTGGAGACAGCAAGGGGGTACGCCTGGGAGTTCTGGCACGGAGGCCTTCATTAAGTTGTGCGTCTTATTGTCTGGGCTGAAACTTCTGTACCCACATCTGACAAATCTTTTCTCAGTTCCTCAGCAGTCACACGGGGACTTTCTCTCCACTCTACGCTTCAGGTAACAGCAGTCGAAGTCAGCATCTTCTTTCTGCCACGACCAGGTAGCGTTTCAACAGTGCCCTTTGCCTTGAATTTGCGAATGATGCTTCCTAAGGTGTCTCTTGGTATGTTTAACATCTTTGCAATCTTCTATAGCCATTGCCCTTCCTGTGAAGAGAAATCACCTCTTCTCTTGTCTTCCTGGACCATTCTCTTGCCTTCACCATGTTTGTAACCACACCAGTAAATGTCTAGAAGGAGCTGAGTATCACAGTCATTTTAAAGCTGCCTAATTGGTGCTTATTATGCTTGATTGCTGCTCGGTGACATCCACAGGTGTTTTCAATACCTGAACTTCAGAGTGGTAGTCTTTAATGGGGTTGAATAATTGTGGCAATGAAGAAACCACATAAGAACCATTTACTACTGTATTACATAAACAATTGATGTCATTTTAGTTGCATTTGGGTAGTTACAACGTCCTTGTAGGATTTGATTCTGAATACAATTCCAAATGTACAATAGTCCCTAAACCCCTTTAACAGCATGTTGAATAATTTTGGACACAACTGTATGTGAACCCCTTGGGATTACGTGGAGTTTTGCATGAATTGGGCATAAAATGTGCTCTGAACGTCATTCTAAGTCACAACAATAGATGAACACAGTCTGCTGAACATATTACTAACATTAGATGTTGCCATGGTTTAATTGCACATAACATGTAAACATTCACAGTGCAGGGAGGAAAAAGTATGTGAGGCCCTAGCGTAATGACTTCTCCCAGAGCTAATTGGAGCCAGGAGTGAGCCAACCTTGACTCCAATCACCGTGATGATTTTGGATGTGTTGCTGACAGCTGTCCTGCCCTTAAAAAAACACACACCTGTTTTGGGTTTA